GTCCACTAGATCAGTGTTTTCATGTTGTCTATCATCTTACCACATTTTCTCAAAGACGGTAAAAACATTTGTACCTTAAAGTTACTTGTGGAAAAGCCCAAGTGCCAATTCTTTCTAGATCCGTTTTAGTAGAGTTCAACCATCTTCTACGGCCGTCCATTCCACAGGTAAGGAGTAGCAGCCTGCTTATTGATGTTGTTCTTTCTCTTTTTAACTTCACTGTCTTTTGCAGGGTGTGGTTTGAGATAAAATTTACCCTTTTACTCATCCTAAAGACTACAATTTGGTGATTTTTTAGTGTACTCACATGTTATAAAGCCATCACTGCCATCTAATTCTAGAATAAAGCCATCATCCCCAAAAGAAACCATGTACCATTGTCAGTCACTCTCCACTTTCCCCACCCCCATACCATGCCAGCCACCAATCTACTTTTTGTCTCTGTGGATTTGCCTACATTGGACATATCACACAATATGTGATCTTTTGTATCTGGCTTCTATCACTCAGTGTAATGTTTTCATGGTTCATCCACACTGTAGCATGTGTTGACATCGTTTTTTAGAAATGACTCACTTTTATGGGCCTATAGGGCGATCCATTTAGTTTTTATAGAAAAAACATTCTTCGGCACTTACATTATATCATTTTATGTAATATTTCATTAAATTGCAAAATTACAATAGCACATACCGGTGGTAGGCTAGTGATAAACAGAACTATGAGCAAACACGACTATGAGCATGGCCCTGAGCTGATAAAAGCAAAGTACACCAATTCATTGTGATGACAGCTACTTCCCACAGCGGCCTTTGTGCTGAGGAGCGACCAGGAAGGGTTCCGGAGGGAAGAAGAGTAATGGCTAACCCTGAGTTGGGTTGTTGGTTTTTTTTAAGATTTATTCATTTATTTTAGAGAGAGAGTGGGTGGAGAGGTAAGAGAGAGAGAGAGAATTCTGAAGTAGACTCCCCACTGAGCGTTGAGCCCAACACTGGGCTCGAGGTGGGGCTCCACCCTACCACCCCAAGATCATGACCCGAGCCCAAACCAAGGGGCAGCCATTTAACCAACTGAGCCACGCAGGTGCCCTGAGTTGTTGTAGCGTCGGTCAGTATGCCATTATCCAAGATGGAGAGGGAAGCATGCAGAGGGTGTAGAAACGGTCAGGGTTCATTACACAACCCAACACAGCCTTACCTGGCCCCCCAAAAGGAAGTCCTCCATAGGTCTTCAAAGAAAAAAACCAGAGATAGGTTCCCATAAAGACAGATATACCCTTCTACTTCTAGAAAGCTTTACCAAATTGTCTGTCAAGGAGAAGCTCAAACATGTCCTCTCTATAAAGTCTTCCCTAAACCCTGATTATTTATAGTGACTGTATGCTTTCTCTCCTCCCTTTTAATTTCCAGAGTACTTATCTACCTCATGGAGCTCATAACCCGGATGACAGCCAGTCATATAACATCTTTTTTTTCCCATACCTGGCTGAAAGCTACCTCGGAGGCAGGTTCTGTGTCTTTGCCTTGCCTGCTGCCAGAGCATAGAAAAAAAAAAAAAAAAAGGTGCTCAAAACACAATCTTTATACCAATATTCAATAAGGAGAAATTCACTAAGCATTTATTATTTATTTATTAAGTAAAGAAGGAGCATATTAAATAATTAGTTTATTTAGGCATTTCCTACCTGGCTAGAGCAACTCAGCCCACTCATCAACACGGGGTCAAAGAAGAGGGAAAGGAGGGATGAGCTTAGGGATGAGCATCTGATGGGGAGAAGCAGGGAGCAACTGAAGAAGATCAACGAGTCCGGGTGCCTAGCAGCCATCAAAAATCATGACTCTCCTCCAAGGGCTTCACAGAGACCACTTTCAAATAGGACATTGTTAGATAATGACACTTCCTGATGTCCTTTGATGGAGAAGAAATTAAAAACAGACAGAAAATCTTTGTACTCAAAATCTCCCAACGTCAAATGTGGATTTGGTTTTTCCCCAATTAAATTGTTATACCATACCACTTTAATGGGTGAGTTTTGAGATATCCTACAAAGGTCCTTATAAGCAAATAGCTTCCAAATTAGCGATTTTTAAAAGCAAACCAATAGGGTAGGTAAGGAATGCATAAACAACCCCAAAGTCTGCACTGAATACTTTTTTTGGCTGTATATGACTGAAAAACTGCCAAGTTCATTTTGATAAGCCTTTGTTAAAAACAATAAACATGCCTAAGCTTGCAAACCATGCTGTTTTGAAGAAAAAAGCAGTTGAGGGAATTAGAAAATGCTTAAAGCTGGAATGTCTGAATAAAACCTTTCATGGTAACGGATTTACCAAGAAGTCACAACACTGTGAAGCCTAGGAATATGGAGAGTAGTGGAGGACAAAATGTAAAGTGAGAAAAAATGAAAGCAGAACACCATCTGCATAAATAAGTAAGCAGCTACATCTTACCCACTGGTACCATTACAATAGCAATACGACCACGGGCACACTAACGCTAGTGAGAAAACGAACCCTCCCATGCTTCATTAAGTTTAATGTCACCACAATGATGTCCCTGCACTAAAGGAAATATAATTTAAGGGACTCCGAATGAACATACATAAAATAACCAAATGTGGCACCTGCTCTTCGCGGGAGGATATCCTTTCAAAGAAGTCAAAGTAATTTATCTGAATTCCCTTCTTTGTTTTCAGTGATTATAAAATCAGCAGGATCAGGGGATTGGAAGGAAGAGAATCTGGAACATTTAAGTTCATTTCCCTTCTTTAGGCAAAACCAAAATTCTTTTCTATCTGCCAAGCAAAATCCAGAAACATTCTAATGAATGAATTATAACTTGAGCTCCACAGGAATAAATCTTTTTGCTGCATTCACGGATGATCCCAAATGCCCAGAACAGCACTGGGCACACAGTAGTCACTGCAGAATACGGCAGGTAAATAAAGAGCTCTGTTAAAAACTGAGAAATGTAAAAAAGTATGCAATGCCTAAAATGCTAAAGAAGTCAGCTTAAAGTCCCTTACTCAGCTCTGTTATAAGGTCATGGTGTTAATCACAACACACAAATGATCCTCATAGAAACCCCTTTTCTCAAGTTGGCTCCAAAGTCATACGTTACAACTTTTACTCCAACTAATCATCACCAGCGGGAGCTGAGATTCCAGGGAGAGATGCGGGTAAATTTAGTACACCCGCTTTGATTTGTTTTCTTTTCTGGATGTTCACCTAGGATGTATCTGAATATTCATCACTGTTCAAGAAGAATGTAAATATTATTTAAATTTAAAGGTTTGTATTTTTTTAAATTGTACTACAGAAGTAGTTTGGCTAAATCAACCTCTCATTTATTTCAAAATTCCACCAGTTAAAATAAATAAATAAAAAATAAGAACAGGAATATAATTATAGGTGATTCTAGTTTCATCATTTTTGTTCAAAATGCCTAGCAACAATATGCTTTGCGAGTGTCACCAAGTGGGAAAGAGAAGGCATGGACTGTGGTGTTGGCTCCATCACCAATGAACAATGTGAGTTTAGCCAATCTTTGCCAATGGGAATCCCGGCTTCCTGGCTCGCCAGGGGAAGGGTTTGAATAGATGATCTCTAAAACCCTTTTCAATTTTTAAGATCCTGCCATTACATGACCAAATCCAGTCACTCAGTTACTATTCCTTATTTTCACTGTTTATTTCTTTAACAGACAGACGTTGGGCACCTCAGGAGGGTCAGACACCCTTGGCTTAGTTCGGCAGGACATTGGTGGAGGGAGAGTGAGACAAACTGCAGGGTCCATTGATGATTTTATCTTTTTTTTTTTTTTTTAAGATTTTACTTATCTATTTGACAGAATGAGAGAGAGAGCAGAAGCAAGGGGAGTGGGAGAGGGTGAAGCAGGCTCCCCGCTGCTCAAGGAGCCAGATGCTGGGCTTGATCCCAGGACTCTGTGAACACGACCTGAGCTGAAATCAGACACCCAATGTACTGAACCACCCAGGCCACCCCCCCTTGATGATTTTAAAGCTAGTGATCTCAGAAATCCGTGGAGACAGTGTGTTTCTAAATTTGTCAGGCCTTGTCTTTCTTCCTGGGCTAAGCCGGCGGCAGCTTCAGAGTACCGAGATCTCAGCAAAGAAGCAAACAGGACGGACGAATTAGAGTCCCATCAGAATGGAATGGTTTAACCAGTGTTCTGGTAGGTTCCATCCGACTCAACATTAAAAAAAAAAGAAAGAAAAAAAGTTGTAAGATGGTCAGAAAGCTGAATTGTGAAAACGGAAGGCTAACCAAATGGCCCCACTACTTAATGGAATCATGCTTTAGAATTTTGCTTGTCAACACTTGTCCCTGAGTTTGCACTACAGGGATCACACGGCCTTCCTTAAGGACAAGAAAGAGCTGAGAAATTAAGTTCAGTCATTTGAGAGTTTTGAAAGCTAGTTGGTGTGCTGTTAGTACACTGTACACGAGAAATAAATATTATTACCTAAGCAGAAGAAGATTAAGAAAAAGGAAAAAAGTCACTGAAAGCCCAATCCAGCAGGAAAGCAGTCTCTATAACACCGGGAAATCTACCTTTGGAAAGCACAGGAGATGGGTATCAAAGCCGCTTCCTTTCCAGCCACCTGCCCAGAAACAGCTGGAGCGCGGGCCCAACGCCGACAGAGAGCACATGTCTGTCCCTCTAATCCAATCCCAACATGCGCCCCGAAGAACCCGGCTGGGGTGGGGGGGTTCCGGCTCCCGGGGCGCTGGGGCCGCGGGAGCCACCGAGCGCCCTCCGCAAGCTGCACCACGCCCAGCCTGAGGCCGCCCCGCCAAGCTGCATGCCCCGGGTCCCCTCGAGCCCCCACGCCGCCGGGGAACGGGGAGAGGGACAGCCGCTCGCGGGAGGCTGCGCCCCGGACAGCCCCGCCCGACCGGTGCCCGCGCCCCCCAGCACGCCCCGGGCGCGCAGTCCCCCCCTCTCCCGGCCCCCGCCCGGTCCCGCCGCGTCCTCACCTCGCGTGGATCGCTGTATCCCGGGCGGCGGCGCGCGGACATGCCCCGAGGGCGCACCCACCGGGCCGACTCCCCGTGCCGTGGCCCCTTCCCGGGCCCCAGCCGCCGCAGTCCGCGCTTCCGAGGGGCGGGGAGCGCTCGGGGCGGAGGCGCCGGCGGGGCTGGGGCCGGGGGCCCCGCGGGCAGCGCGGGAGGAGGAGAGCGTCGCCGGGAAGCGCCCAGAGCGCGGCCTGCGAAACGCCCCCGCGGGTCCACCCCCGCCCCGCCAGCGCTGCCGTGGACTCCGGGGTGGGCGAAAGGGGTTTATCCCTGGGATCCGCTCTCCCGGCCGAGGCTTGGCGCGGGGGCGGAGGGACACCTCGCGGTTATGCAATGGGTCGGCCCGCTGGGTTCCCAGCCACCTCGCCCCGGCACCTCCCTCGTCTCCGCGGGGTCCGCCTTGACCCTTATCAGCAGTGCGCGCCCCTGACCGAGGCGAGCAGAGGTGGTCGGGCGTTCGCAAAAGAACTTTCCCCTGAAGGGTCGACTAGCAACGTCTGGAGAAGGAATTCAAGGACTCCCTTAGACGTAGCTGGCAGGGATGCTGCCGGCCGCTCCTTCCAGGTCACAGCGCACGACCCCGAGTCCCCGGAGTGTTAGTTAAAAGCGTTGTCTCTGGGAGTTAGGTGGACCTGGATCCAACGCTCCTGAAAAGCTTGTGACCTTGAGCAAGTTAAGTCCCTCGGCCTCAGTTTCTTCATCTGTGAAATGAGAATAATAATAGTCCGCTTCAGGTGTTCGCCGAGAGGACACAATGAAAGGAAGTGCAGGCGCCGGTCATGTCACACGCCCCCCGGTCGACGTTACTGCTGTTGGTTGTGTGGCGGCTCGTCCCCATTCCTCAAATGTTGCCTTAAAGGCGGCGGTGTCAATGACCTAGGGAGAGAGCTTCCCGGGTTTGCCCAGAAGTACCCCGCGTAAGGCAGATTCTAGGCTAACCTTCCTGTAAATCAGTCTGTCAGAAGCAGGTTCTCCGAATTGTCTGTCTGATTCCCGTTTCTTGGGGTCTACACCCTTGCCACTCAGCGGCATCTTTGTCATGTGCGAGCTTGCTAGAAACGCGGAATCTGGGGCTCACCCCCGGCACCTTTAGAACACGGTCTGTGTCTTAACAAGAATCCCTCGGTGATTTAGTCGCTGGTACATCAAAGTTTCCGTAAGAGTTGAATTTCTTGGAAAATCTTAAAAAGGGGCTGCAAAGCTACTGAGCAGTAGCCATATAATACTTTAGGATATTTTAAAAATAGACTAGGAAACCCTTCCTCATTTTATCCTCTGGCTGTTTTATTTCTTCTCCTTTCTCTAATCTCCTGCTCTTTATAAATCTGGATTTATGTCTTATTTTTCACTGCAACAACCTTTGGGTTACAACTGAATAATGATTAGTAAATCTATGTCTAAAACACACGTAAGAATTAGCAAATATGGCTTGTAAAAGAATTCATTAGCATTGAAAACAGATTTATCAATCTAGAGCCCTGGAGAGCCCAGAATGCTCACCTGTGAAGGTCTTTAGGTTCAAGACTTGAAATACTTTCACATTTCAGAACATTGTTTTGGGTGGCAAATAAGGTCCATTCTCCGTTTAAATAATGTAGGACAACCAGTTTTTTTAAAAAAGTTTTGAGGTCACCTGTTTGGTTCAGGTGTTAAACATCTGCCTTTAGCTCAGGTCATGATCCCAGGGTCCTAGGATCAAGCCCCGAAGCCTGCTTCTCCCTCTCCCACTCCCCCTGCTTGTATTCTCTCCCTCCCCCGCATCTCACTTATAAATAAATAAATAAATAAATAAATCTTTAAAAAATAAGATTTGGAAAGAAAAAGTTTTTGAGAATAGAAACCTCACCTTCCTTCTATCTGACTGAAGTCATCACTCACAGAGAAGCTCTAGCAAAGCCCGAAGCATGCACTTTATTTCATTAAATGCTATGTGTTTGGGTTTTGTGTTTGTTTTTGATTCTTGGAATGTTCAGATTTAGTCTGCCTGATTGTAGCTCTGGCAGAATGATTTCTGTCTTGTGTGAGTGGGGTAATTGCAGATTGTTGATGAGGAGGAGGGTAAGGCTGCCTGACAGTGCGTGAGTTGGAAAGGTCAGTTCCATCTGCCCACCCAAGGCTGTTGAACAAGCTGATGGCTTGCAGATGGGCAGTGTGGACGTGGAGTAGGGGAAGATGATCAGAGGAGAGGAATCTCTGTTCTCCGAGGCTGGGGGTTTGGAGGAGCTGGGAAGGGAAGGAAAAAGACCCTTCTGCTTGCCCTGGAATCCAACCAGGCAGGAAAGGAAAAAGGCAACATTTCTCCTATACAGTACTACCCCACAGAACACCCTGCGTGGGTGGAAATGTTCTGCCTTTACGTGGTCCAGATGGCTATGAAGTGTGGCTATTTACATTTATATTTTAATGAAAACTCAGGGTTTTTGTGTGCATTAGTGTTTAGTGTGCATTAGTGCTAGTCTGTTGGACTAACCAAGTTTCAAGTGCTCCATCCCAGCGTGTGGCTAGTAGCTACCGTACCAGATGGCAGATAAGACATTTTCTTCATCACACAAATTTTAGTTACAGTGGTGGCTTAGAGGCCAGGATTTTGATGAGGAAGTAAGCCCCAGTGTTCCAGCTTTTCTAAAATCCTTGTCAGGACCTCATCTGTCCTAAGGTGGGTGTAGGAATTGATCATGAAACCGAGGTCACTGAGTCCTCGGGAGGGTCGGAATGGGCTAATCTATAATCATTCCAGGGAATGAATGTCATCCCTGCATAGATTACATGTGCAAAAAATCTTACCAGAATAAGCATTAACAGTTATTTTACTGTAAAGAAAAGTTGTCGGGGGGACATAGTCCTACAGTTACATCACTATTAGTTAAATAGCCTTTTGCTGACATGGTTCAGCAGCTCTCCTCCCTCAGCAACCATTTATAGCTCTGCACCTCCTCCTCCCCTCCCCTCCTCCTCCCTGCTCAGAGCTGGGCACCACCTGCACTGTTCTGGCCTGAGGCTCAGCATACTTGCTCAAATCCCTACTGTTAGGGTCCAATAAATAGGAAGTGTGTTAACTAAAATCATATTGCACCATAGTTCAGGGGAATCAATTTTCAGTTGAAATTCTCGGAAGTGTGACACCTTAGAGTACATTATGGAAGGAATTGTTTGTTCCTGTTATTTGGTCAAACAAGGGTGTGTGGACTCAGCAGAAAGAAATGAGAACATTGGCTCCAGATAAGTAATATTTGGGGTGTCCACATCAGACTGGAAGCTACAGAAGCTGGGGGGCGGGGCCTGGGACTGACAGTTTGAGGCTTTTGCTTACATAGAAGTTGAAAGTTTATTTTCATGAGTAATAAAGATTCTCAGAATAACTACAAACATTAAAAAAGATGCAAGTATTGTCTGCAGTCAGTTATACAAATCAGGGCAACACGCGGAACAGGAAGCAGGGAAATTCTTCACGGCACTCCAAGAAACACAAATTTCTGAATGACCTTCTTCTCAAACTCCTATTCTTCTGGCTTCTTTAATAAAATCACATCCTATGGGCTGCTTTGGGTTCCCACTTTCTTTATTGTCTTCCTTGGTTCCTTTTTCAGCACTTCTTTTCTTACGAACATTTTCTTAGAATTCAGCCCCTATTTTCTGTTCTCTTTTCTTCACCCCATCCTACACCCCTCCTGTCATGCCTGTGGCTAACACCTGTCTGAGAGGCGGGACATTTCTGGTTCTGACCTCTCTCCAGGGCTTCTTGCCAGACCCCCACCAGACACTGTCATTTACCTTCTCCCTACCCCATTATTTCGAATGTTAACCTTTCAGGAACTGAAGTTATCAGTACACTCTGTGGTTAGCCTCCCCCACCTAGACTTTCTATTTTCTCCTCTTTGATATCACTGCCTTGGTCTTTGGTGCTGAAATTCTCCTATCTCCTGTGACTTGAAACAATGGAATGATTTTAACCCCTTTTTCTTTTTCATGGAGTCGTGGTAAAACTGAAAGACATTGAATTTGGAATCAAAAGACCAGAGTAAAAACTTCATCTTTGGGGCGCCTGGGTGGCTCAGTGGGTTGAGCCTCTGCCTTCGGCTCAGGTCATGGTCTCAGGGTCCTGGGATCGAGCCCTGCGTTGGGCTCTCTGCTCAGCAGGGAGCCTGTTTCCTCCTCTCTCTCTGCCTGCCTCTCTGCCTGCTTGTGATCTCTCTCTCTCTCTGTCAAATAAATAAATTAAATCTTTAAAAAAAAAAACTTCCATCTTTGTCAGTCTTTGGCAAGAGGAAATTAGGAAATTTCCTAACCCTCTTAAGCCTCATGTTTCTCATCTATAAAATTAGACCAACAGTACCTTTCAAAAAACACGGCTTGGGCAGCTACTTATAGACTCTCAGCCTTCACACTCGTTACATTTTGGACCTGATAATTCTTCATCATGAAGATGCCCCGTGCATTGTAGGATGTTCAACAACATCCCTGGTCTTTACCCATTAGATGCCAGAAGTAACCCTCTGGTCATGGCAATCCCAATGGCCTGCAGACACTGCCACATGTCCCCTGGCCAGGGACAAAATCACCTCCTGTTAGCAACCACTTGGTTAGAGGAATTCTGGGGGGAGCAGAAGGGCCTTCCTCTCTGAGTCTGTGAGGATTCCATGAGACTGATGGGCATTGAAGGCAGCCCGCACAGAGCCTGATCAGGTCAGCATCAGCAGAGTATGGATATCCACTCACTCCTAAAGCTCTGTCAAGGGGAGGTATTTTCTGAAACTCACAGTTGAGAAACACTTTCAGAAAAAAAATTAATTTAGATTGTGTTGTTCTACATTATTATTCTATCCTAGCAGGTGCTGTTTGTGAGTTTAAGCAACAATAAGACATATTTCTTACATTAAATGTTCTTAATAGTTTTGTTCTCTCCCTATTTTGACTGATCTCCAGACTCAGATTCCCTTACGCATAGCTCACTAGAATTACTAGACTTCCATTAGTCCTGTGTTTCCTTACTCCTGCCCATCTGGACAAAGAGCCTTCCTGATACTGTTCATGCCCTTTATTCTTTCTGCTAGAAACTCTGGTAGTTCCTGTTCCCCTTATTTACTTTCACTGAAATGGAACTCCGCTGTTGGTTGGCCATCATTCTCTTCCATCCAGCCTTTCTATCCATCCTTCATCATCATACCCCCCGCCTGTCGCTCTGCATCATAGTCTCCTTCTTGTTCTGACATGTCATCATGCACAT